TATCTATCATCCATCTATCATCTATCACAAGGGTCTTCAAACTTGGCAAGTTTAAGACTGGTGGACTTCAACTCCCAGAATTCCTGAGCTAAAAATGACTGGACGAGGAATTCTGGGAGTTGAAGTCCACCAGTCTTAAAGCTGTCAAGTTTGAAGACCCCTGTCCTAGATGTTCATGTCAACATCTCCTAGATGTTGTGAACATGTCCAGCTGGTCTGTAAGTGCCACCAACCTCTTGACCTGATCCAGCCTGAAGTCCATCTTAACCTCCTTCCATTCTCCAATGAAGCATCAGATTAACAAAGTTGGAAGGGACCCTTTGGGTCATCTAGTCAAAGCAGGAGACCCTACACCATTTCTGACAGATGGCAGTCCAGCCTCTTCTTGAAAGCCTCCCGTGATGAAGCTCCCACAACCTCTGAATGCAACTTCGGTTCCATGGGTTGATTGTTCTCCCTGTTGGGAAATTCCTCCTTATTTCCAGGTTGAATCTCTCCTTGATCAGTTTCCATCCATTCTTCCTTGTCTGGCCTTCAGGTGCTTTGGAAAATAGCTGGACCCCCTTCCTCCTCTCTGTGGAAGCCCCTCAAATATTGGAAGATGCTCTCCTGTCTCCCCTGGTCCTTTTCTTCCCTAGACTAGCCAGGCCCAGTTCCTGCAATCCTTCATCATGGGTTTTAGCCTCCAGTCCCCTCATCATCATCCTGGTTGCTCTTCTCTTCACTCTTTCTACAGTCTCAACATCCATCTTTTCCACCCCGGAGAACTGCCATTTCCCTGCATCTCCGCATTGCGTTTAAAATGACCTCGTCCTAGAGCTGAAGACAAAACGGTGACCCTTGCCTCCCTTCTCCCCCCCCCTTGGTCCTGTATTCGAGTCTTAGCAGGCAGGGCCTGGCCTGGCCTTCTGCCTTTCTTGGGGCTCAGCTGCACCCAAGCCCCCTTCCCCCCTATTATGCGTTCCCCCCCGCCCCCACCGGCTGTAATTATGCTTTGCCAGAGAATTTTCCACCCTATCCACCCTCCCCTCCCCGTGGCACAATCCGTGTGCCTCCCTGCACACATGTGCGCGAGAGGCTTGCCATTTTGAGTGGCAAATAGATTTCTCCTTTTCTTTCTTTCTCTTTCTCTCTCTCTCTCTCTCTTTTCTCTTTTCTCTTCTTCTCCTTCCCCCCTCCTGAGTAGCTCAAGAGGTTTAATTAAAATTAGGGGCTTCTCCAAATGGCAATATTTATGAGGACGGCACAGGTTAGCTTTGTTCCCCAGAAGGGTTTAATAGAGCCTTAATGGATTGACCTACCCTGCACCCCCCCATCAGGGCGGCTGACTTCCATTCTCCAGGCAGCCACTCCAAACGGGGGCGGCGGAGGGAGGTGGGGGGGTGGGGGAGAGCAGGAAAAAAAAACACAGCTTTTTTATTGCGGGCTGCATTCCCATAAGCGATGGCAATTTATCCGAAGCTTCGGGCAAACAAAGGGAACTGTGAATGAGAAGAACACTTGAGCGCATAGAAATCGGTCTCCTTCCCAACCTCCCCTCCCTTCCTCGCCTTTTGTCGCAGGACCGGAGTCTTCTTCGTTCGTCTTCCGTCACCGCGATGGGGTGGGAGGGAGAGCTGAGCTGGGGATGGGAGAAATGGCATTCTTTATCTTCTCTCTCTCTCTCTCTCATGAAAGGATTATTCAAATATTCAATTAAACTGTGAATAGGGTGCTTTCTCCAAACCAGGTGAGTTCATCACCACGAACCTGCCATTGTCACGCCCAGCGCAGGGGAAGACAGAGAGAGAGAGAGAGTTGACATTTAGCAAACGGTGCATGCTGTCTGGTGGTGATGGGCAACGGGGGTTGTTTGTTTTTACACACACACACACACGCATACACACGCACACAACCTTGTTGCACTCTATTATTCCCCCCCCCTTCTCCTCCTCTTCCATGCAAAAATTGCAGTCGTGCACGAGACTGGGAAGGGCAGGGCGTGTCCCGCTGCCCCGTTCTGGAATTGAGTTGGAGGTGGCGTGGTTCGGTTTGGTTTGGTCTGACCGTCGTCCGGTGTGGACCTCAAGAAAGCCAGAGATCCCCGTTTCGGGGCTGGTGTGGTGGGGGCTCCCGGAGACATGATATTAATTTCCCAGGAATTAATAAGGTTGCAAATACCGATAAAAGGAGAATATTTGTAGCTCAGGGTTGCAATGTCCCCGGTGCTCTGTGAGCTGGGTGGTTTTCTTACAGACGTTTCATGACCCGACTAGGTAACATCATCCGTGTTGCAAAGGTGTGAGTTTTGCTCTCTCTCTCTCTCTCTCTTCTCTTCTCTTCTCTTCTCTTCTCTTCTCTTCTCTTCTCTTCTCTTCTCTTCTTTCTTTCTCTTCTCTCCCTTTCTCTCTTTTCCCTCTCTCCTTTCTCTCTCTCTCTCTCTCTTCTCCTTTCTTTCTCTTCTCTCCCTTTCTCTCTTTTCTCTCTCTCTCTCTCTCTCTCCTCTTCTTTCTTTCTCTTCTCTCCCTTTCTCTCTTTTCTCTCCCCCCCCTTCTAGCACTGATGATGTTACCTAGTTGGGTCATAAAACGGCTGCCAGAAAACCACCCAGCTCAGAGCATCAACATTGCAAATAATTTTCCATCCTTTCGGAGAAATTCAACCTTTGCAAGGGCTCAGAGTTCATACCCACACCAAGAGCACAGAATTGAAATATTTTTCAACCTCATACACTTCAAGATGCATGGCTTTCAGTTCCCAGAATTCCCAAGTCCAACACGTTTTCCTGCTCCCAGAATTCTACGGCAGGCTGGGGAATTGTGGGAGTTGAAGTCCACGCACGGCCGTCACGATGTCGAGACTCTAGAAAGAGTGAAGAGAAGAGCAACAAAGAGGATTAGGGGACTGGAGGCTAAAACCTATGAAGGATAGGATTTGCAGGAACTGGATTTGGCTAGTCTAAAGAAAAGAAGAATTGGGAGTGACATGATAGCAGCCTTCCAATATCTCAGGGGGCTGCCCCAAAGAAGAGGGAGTCAAGCTATTCTCCAAAGCACCAGAAGGCAGGACAAGAAGCAACGGGTGGAAACCAATCAAGGAGAGAAGCAACTTAAAACTGAGGATAAATTTCCTCACAGTTAGAACAATTAATCGGTGGAACGACTTGCCTTCAGAACTTGTAAATGCTCCAACGCTGGGAGTTTGTAAGAAGAGATTGGATAACCATTTGTCTGAAGGGGTGTAAGATTTCCTGCCTAGGCAGGGGGTTGGACTAGAAGACCTCCAAGGTCCCATACAACATTGTTATTCTATTCTATTCCTCTTGAGAGAAATGGTGCTCCAATCAAGAGCTCACAGATAATCAGAGTTAGAAGGGATCTTGTAGGTCATCTAGTCCAACCCCCCCCCCGACTAAACAGGTGACCCTACATCATTTCTGACAGATGGCAGCCCCACCTCTTCTTGAAAGCTTCCAGTGATGAAGCTCCCACGACTTCCGAAGGCAGCTTCTGTTCCATGGATGGATTGTTCTCACTGACAGAAAGTTTCTCCTTATTTCCAGGTTGAATCTCTCCTCGTTCAGTTTCCACCCATTATCCCTCGCCTGGCCTTTGGGTGCCTTGGAAAACAAGAGAATTAGAATTTAGCTGGTATTAATGTCTGTTGCTAAATTTGGGTCATCTCAAAACAAGGTGCCTGGGAAAGTCGGCCGAGCCAGACCAAACCAAATAAAAATAATAATAATTTTATCTAGGAACATCTATTTGATGCTCACTCTCTGCAATGCCCGAAACTGTGCAATAGGATCTTTTCCGACAATGACCGACCAAGAAATATGTCTTAATAGCGATGGGAATCGAACAAGCTGGTTTTTAACCAGGTGGCTCGCGCACCTGCCAGTTTACCTTGATGGCTTTCGTGCAACGCAGCCTCTGCTCTCTGTAAAGCCCCGTTGCCCACAATATACCCACGATGGCGCCGTCTGTGCCAGGGAGCAGGGATCATGGTTTCTATGCCGGCTGAGCTGCCTGCCGGCTTTGTGGAGGCCAAGCAGATTAAAGACAAATCTCTCCGCCTGGGGTTTGGAGGCGAAGGCAAACCAGACAAGCGAGGGAAACCTGCTTTGTTTACCCGCTGTGACATTTTCCCCTGCTGGAAAGCAGAGCCGGGAGGAACCTTAGAGGTCATCCAGTCCAACCTTTTGGACCTCAGGGATCACCAAACTCAAGATTTTAAATCCCGTGGACCAGAGACCTTGGGGAAACAACCCCCCCCCCAAAAAAAGTCTGCAGGAAAATTCCCCACCCCGTTGTCCTACCGATCGATCGTTCTTTATTTGGGATCGCAGGATACCGTCTCCAGCTCCGTTCTCGGGGGAAGAGAGAGGGAGAGACTTTTGGCTCCATGCAAGGAAAGCAGCAGAAGCTGCAGAAGTCTTTCTTTCTCTTCCCCAAACTCCACCAGAAATGAGTCTTTGTGAGACTTGGAGCAGGAGGCCTTGCAGGGTCCCAAAGACTCATTTCGGGCGGAGTTTGGGGGAGAGAAAGAAAGATTTTTGCTGCTTTCCTTGCATGCAGCCAAAACCAGAAGAAGAAATAAGCGGAAAGAAGCAGCCCAGTGGCCAGGCCAGGCGCGTGGGGCGAGTAGGGCAAGTTCCCCCCTCCACCCATTCCCTCCCCACCCCACTAACCTGCTTTCCAGCTCCATTCTCCTGTGCAGGGCAACCCAAGGAGACCCAGCTGATCAGCTGGGATTCAATGGGAGGCAGAGAAGAGATGGGGTTGGCAGAGCCAGTCAGAGGTGGGATTGGCCAGTTCTCCCAACCACTCAAAATTTCTGCTACCGGTTCTCTAGAACCGGTCAGAACCGGCTGAATCACCTCTCGGTGGGTGAAAAGGCTGGGCTGACACCCCACTCTTTGCCTGCTTTCTCCTTTTGGCTGCAGATGTGAAGTATGTGGAGAACTCCAGCGTGGTGAAGGAAGCCCAGGAAAAAGCCAACTTGGCCCTGATGGAATACACCATCGTCCATTATCCCCACACCATGGACAAATTCCGGCACCTGCTGATCCAGTTGGCCGACATCCGGGCCCTGAGCATGCAAGCCGAAGAGTACCTGTACCATAAACACCTGGGCGGGGAGGTACCCTGCAACAACCTGCTGATTGAAATGCTGCACGCTAAGCGGACTTGAGGGCTTCTCTTTTGCCCCAGGAGATGGACGGACGGACGGACAGATGGAGGACGAGGTTGGGGCGGTTGGGGTAGGGGGGGGGGGGGCGGGGCGGACAACCCCCCCCCCCAGGCGCTGGCTTTTGACCTGCGTCCCTTCGTGCTGGAATCAGGCCAAGTTTCCACCCAGTCTTGTTTGTCCCAGATGCTTGGATGTTTGCAAAACCTTGCAAAAGCCACTTGGAGATTGTCTTGGAAGGCTGCGGTGGGTGGATCCCAAACACAGGGACAAGTGTGTGGGGGGGATGGGGACAGAGAAAGCCCCCTCCCCCCCTTGTTCTTTCTTTCCGTGGCCTCTAGGTCCAGCTCCCCTCTGCGTCCCAGGACCGGATTTTCAGATCCAAAAACCTGCTGGGAGAAGCGGCTGGGGCAGTTCCCCGCCAAACTCCGATGCATTTTTGCAAGGAAAAACGGGGGCACCTTCCACGCCTCAAACACTGGGAAGATGCTTTTTTTGGGGGGGGGCAGTTTCTCCAGAGATCTGAGCAACTTTGGGGGTACGGGAACATCCTCTGACCCATCCCTTCTCGGTCTCACGGTGGGAAGCCAAGAACTTTGTCAAAAGTTTTTAACAGACTGACTTAAGTTTCATTTTCAGCTTAGTTCACTGTCTCCCCAGTATGCGTTTGGTCCACTCTGCGGTACGGTGACTCGAGAAATGGGGAGGCCATATCCTAACAAAGTTTGTGTGAAGCGGAACCTCTTGAGCACATGACATGGTTGACTTATTCTCTCTCTCTCTCTCTCTTTTCCCTTCCCTTCCCGTTTTTCCGCCCCCTCCTAGCAATTTAATTTTATTGTCGCTCCATCCAGCAAAGTCTGCGAAGAGACCTGTTGCCTTCTTCCTTGATTAGAGTCGCGGGGGTCCTAAACCTGTGTGTGTGTGTGTTTAATTCATTTAATCAACAAATTTCTCAGTCAGAAGGACCCTTTTTGGGGGGGAGGGGGGGGTGGGGGGGCGCGGAGGGGGGGGAAAAAAACACACCCCGATCTGGACCATTAAAGCCACCATCCCATTCGAGTGGAGGTTCTCTCTGGCGTCCTGCAAGTTCTTGGGCCTTTCCTTAAAAACCCATCCAGCTTACAAGAAATAGCCTAAGCCAGATTCCTGAATTTACTTGCTCGTAGAGATACTCTGTGTGTGTGTGTGTGTGTGTGTGTGTGTGTGTGCTTTTCCTCTGAGTGTGCGTCTGTTAAAAGTATTTCTCAAAGTCAGATTCCTGTTGGACCTGATTCATGCAGGACAAACCTCTTCCTGTTTTCTTTTCTTGTCTGCTAAAATGGGGGAAGGGGGCCCATTGGGTTACTTTTGCAAAGAATTTTTTTTGGGGTGGGTGGGTGGGGGGGGGCAGCCTTTCCTTAAGAAGCACCGACCATCAACTCTGGTGTTGCAGGGACGACAAAGCTGTCATATGTAACGGCTTTGTTTCTTAAGCTTGGAAACCCAGGGGAAGGGACCCCCTTTTTGGAGGAATAGGGGGTGAAAATAATTTGGGGTTACAGCGGGCGCCTTTTCCTCTCCTTTGTCCTCATCTTCTCCCTCCTCACCCCAAACAAAACCCCAATTCGGCCTCCTGGGAGCTGTTGAGTGCCTTCCCACAAGCGATGGGATTCAAAAACCTTTGACTACTGGTTCTGTGGGCGTGGCTTGGTGGGTGTGGCCATGGGACTGGGTGGGCGTGGCTTTTTTTGCAGCCCCCCCACCCATTTTGGGGAGCTTCCTAGCCTCAGAGGAGCCTCGGGGGGGGGAGGCGTTTTTGCTCCCCTAAGGCTCCTCTGGGGCTCTGGAAG